AAAAAAAAAAAAAAAAAAAAAAAAATTAAACATAACCTCATTAGCCCCATATAATTTTTTATGTAACGTCATTTAATTTTGGACTGAATGCCTCAAGATTTAGGTCGAAACTTTTTATCTGACAACAATGATGAAAAAGTAATGATCTAGTGAAAGAAAAAAAGATAATCTATTGTCAAATGTAACCTTATTAGATTTTTATCAATTGGTTTTTTAATATGGCCTGGTTGACTTGACTAATATCAAATGAGCTGGATAATTAAGCTTGATACATACTTCTCCATCGGGCTATTTAATTGTTCGTCTCATTTCACAGTCCGTTATCCATTTTCATTCATTCATTTATTTATTTGTTGGCTTTGCCTCCAATAATTAATTCGCATCATTTCCTTGACAAAAAAGAACTCATACAGAGTTGACTGCAAACATGTAAAACTCTATTTGTTTGATCGACAAGTTCGATTAGCTATTTGAGTTTGGCTTGTCTAAATATAAAATGATTCGAGATTGAATTTTTCCAATTCAAACTGACATACATGTTAACAGATAATTTGGTTCTAATCATAACCAAAACCGGTTACAGGTCAAAACCGCCGATACTGAGCTGAGAGTTGGAGAACCCTGAACTGACGCGAACATATGTACAGGCCGATTTATTGAATTGTCAGTTATTGGTCATCCAGTTCATTAAAAATAATAAAAAAATAATATTTTTTTAAAAAGGCCGAATCTCAGGTTCCAGTTCAAGTTCGGGCCGAAACTTCATGTTCAAAATGTATATAAACTATAAAGTATTGTACATGAACAGAACTGGTCAAAACCACGGGCCGATTCAAGACCCATGGTCAACAAGTCGGTTTGTGTCGGTTCAGGCCAAATAATAGCTGGGTCAGCCCATGACCATGTCTATGTCTACTAGGTTCCAACAATAGTTATGCAGCCTCGGGTTAAAAAATTTTCTAGCTACGCCCCTGTCTCTCACGTTTCTTTCCACGAGCCAAAGAAAAGATACAAAGAAAGTAAATTACCGTTCTTTGGATTCAGAGAATTTCAACTTCAGGCATACTGTTTCCAAGAAATGGAACTTCTGGCACACAACATAATGAACGATTAACCAAACGTCACGGAACAGTAGTCAAATCTTTTCAAATATAACAGAAGCCATCATGGCAAGTATGCAACCCATTCTCAAATCACGACAGTAATAAGGCTCAAACTGTAAACAAATTACACAACACAAGGAAAAATAATAAAAAAAAAAGGTCTAGAAGACTATTACCGGCAAACATACCATAAGAATTCAATATATCTTGGTGTAAGGGGATTAGGAGGGGGACAGGCTGCTTATGAAGAGTATATAGGAAGCACCATCAGACACTATACTCCCACTTAATTGGATAACTTGTTCAGGCAGCACCCTTGAATTTGGCATCATACTCGTAAGGTTGCTGCAAAAAAACAAAATAAATAAAAATAACATTCATCTACAAAATGATGTCAACGTGTTTACGAATACAATCAGGATTAACAAAATTCCGTTCCATCAGAGAACTGTTTACAGGAGACGAATAGAAAAAAAGGAATGACATTGTTATGGTGAATTAAATAAAGGCAGTAGTTAGTCAAGTCTAACTTTATTATCAAGTTAGTCTTACTGAAGTAGGCCAGGAACTCAAACTCAAGCTATAAATGGACATGTCAAGGCTTGGTTTAAACTACCAACTAGGAGAAACTAAACTAAGCTTTAAAAAGTTAGATTGGTTTAAACTACCAAGGAGAAACTAAACTAAGCTTTAAGAATTTAGATTGGTTTAAACTACCAACTATGTTCGATCAAATTTAGATTGGTAGGGTTTCGTTAACTTATAACTAGAATTGAACCTTCATCCATAACTACTATTGAGCCTAATTCACTAGTAGCAACTTCTAGCCAAATACTATATGGAATAATACAGTCTAATTATACGTCGAATGTGTGAATCTATTACTGAAGAGTAGCCTATTTCTCAGATCCCAAACCTACTATTGCTTTAAATGTAGAGAGTGTATTCTAAGTTTTTCCCGTGGTTAGACAGAACCGTGAATTAGATTTCTTCTCCATATATTAGTTTCGATTCCATTCTTTGTTGGATTTTTACTACCCTTTTTATCCATAAGATTTTATTAGGTTTAGTTTACTAAATAACCAAATTCTTGTCACTTCAATTAATACAAAATAATCATTATTTGATTTGATATTCTCACTACTACTAATTGGTAGAAATTAGTCAAGAATACAGTAGATTCTGATTTGCAGCACCGCGACTCATAGCCAAAGAACATTACCAAGAATATAGCGGAGATTGCTCTACGAGCAAACCATCTCTTGTGCATTGCTTGTTGAGCACGTGATGCTCCTTCCACACTATCAAACCTCAGATAAACATACCCAGCGCTATTCCTGCAAGTCAATGGAATGATTCATCAGATGCCTGGTTTGCAGATGAAAACATCCTCACTTCATTCATGATTTCCATATTTTTATCTTCTTAAGTTCGTACTTTTGTTTTATTTGTCAGAAACGGGACCAGTAATACACAACATTTTGAATTGGTATAAGCTGACGTGATTAGTAAGAATGACACTTTTCCAGGTCAAACGAAAAAATTTAGGGATGAGCTCAAACAGTTTGCCGCTTGTTAAGGTAGCGAAACTGTTCTTTTGTTCCCTAAGTAGTTTGAAATCATTCATGGGGCACTCTGATCTTCACATACCAAATTGTACAAGACACTGACTAAATTAAAGAGAGACACAACATTCTTACTTGTCAACGTGAATATGCTTGACCCGTCCATACTTAGAACATTCATCTTGCACGTCATCTCTAATGTCCAAGTCAAACTCAGGATCATCCTGCAATAACATGACTTTTACATTACAATTTAATTTCAAAGAAAAATGTAAAATGAATGCTGAACTTTCCTCATGCAGGAAACAGCAAGAAAGACTAACCTCAGTGGCTGGATCAAACATATTCTTCAACAGTAAACACTCACTGGGGGTTCCAATAGGTTCAGGGACCATGGTAAAAACCTGTGCAGGAAGAACAGGACTCGGCAGGATTGCTGCAGGATTGATGGGCATTGTGATCGCTTGTTGTGAAGAGGGAACCACTCCATTCACTGCAGGTACTCCACCGGGACCCACAACACTATGGAATGACATCAAGTCAGCATTCACATTTCATTATAGAATAATGATTGAACAGTCACTCTATATGATTAATATAATACACACACCTTGAAGCAATACCACTACGATCGAGCTTTGCCATGAGCATTGCTCTGGACTGAGCATTTAGCGCCTGCAAAGGTTGAGGATTTCACAGATGAGAACATGCTTTTCTTTTTCAGATGACAACATGCAGAACGCAATAAAAGCTACAAGCCTGAAAGAATTTTAGTTCTAAACAAGGGAGGATGATTTTTTTACTTCATTTTTTAAATTTGAAATAAAATTCTATCTCTGATCCTAAGAAGACAGCACATTTTTTTCGACTTTATCAAAATCATAAACACAAAAAAGATATGGTAAACAGGTTCTAATGCCATAGTTTGTTGAGAGGGCCATTTTCCTACTCTATACTACAACAAGCTGTAAACCAAGGAGAATGGATCAGGAGCCACATTAAATATTCAACATTGGGGTCTGCTCTGCAAGTGAGGGTCTGTAATGTATACATGGTAGTCCAGATATATGATCTGAGGATCCTAAACCATGACACCAAACATTTTAGTAAAAGCAATTTTGTGCACCTAAGAAATCTAATAGCTCATAGCTCCAAACAATATCCATTAGAGATCAACTTCACCGATGTCTTATTTTATTATTCTATTTCAGTAAATAATTAGGTAATTTTGTGACCCGCATAAGATAATTTCTCTATTTAAGTATAATACAGATACAGATCATAGATTAATCAATTAGGTTAATTTTTAAACAGGATTGGCGGTTTTAAGCTGGGAGCAATTCTGCTCAATGTATCAGCCTGCCATTGGCTGCATGGGATGCTTCTCAAGCTGTTCTCAGCTATTTCATAATTAACAAATTCTTCTTTAAAATTACAGAAAAATTAAGTATAAAATAAAATAAAACAAAACAGCAAATCATATCTAACAATTATATAGCTGATGAGCACAGAAACATAATTCAAGAGATTTACTCACCAAACCACCACCATCATCGTCATCAAAATCTGCAGTTTTCGTTCCGGAATCTTGTACTCCAACATGGTCCGTGACAGAGGAAACCTGAAATAAGTAAAGAGCAAAGTCAAGCTGGGCAATGTCACATAAAAGTTACCCACAAACAAATAATATAGAGCGTAGTTCATGATGAAGAATTGTCAGATCAGCTGAATGAGACCACCAATAACCAACTCACAATACCTTAATGAACCGGCCAGCAATCTCTAGTTTCCCATTTAAACTTTGAGCTGCCTTCGCATGTTCAATCTGCGCAAACTGCAATAAATCCATGAATTTTATTATTAGATACTTGAAACATAAAAGTTGTTAGTGACTAAGAAACATATAAAACTATCCACAGAACTGCGTCCATAAAATACCGACTTGAACAAATCCGAAACCCTTGCAATGTCCTGTCTCTGGGTCTGTAGGAAGTTGCACAAGCTCAACTGGGCCAAATGCTTCGAAAATCTAGGGAAAAGAATCGTGATCAAGATAGGGATTAGCTGAAAAATAAAACAGCACAACAAAACAAATAGCCAACAAAACTAGGCCCAACATCAGAAAATTGAACTTTTTAAGGAAAGAAATAGAACACTCAAGTATCAGAACTCATGGCAAGACACAGAACATAGAAGTGAACTGAAAAACAACAAATAAGTGACAATTGCCGCTTTGCCAATAGGTGATGGTCACAGGCAAAAGAATATATAAAAAAAAATCAGGCCATGATTCCTATTGTACTTGTACATGGAAAAGCAGTCAATGAGGCCATATAAAAGAAACCAGCGCAATTGTGGCAACTAAATAAAACAATGCAAACATTCATTAGCAAATAACAGAATCCCAACTCTATAAACCATGTTTTTTTTTTTTTATTTTTTTTTTATTTATTTTTTATTTTTTTTTTTTGCAAAACATGTTTAATTACATACTACCAAAAGTTGGGTTGAATTGCCTCACTAGCATGTTAATATACCAAATTTATTCTAAAAATGATCAACCACAGTGTGTCACTTCGGTAGTGGACGACCAAATGCCTCAACAACACTCTGCAAACAGAGTCTACTGTTACATGCTAATATGTAATCATGGTATACTGCCCATGCAATTAGACTTTGAGTTGAGTGAATAACAACTCTTCAAGTACAGCCGAAAGGGAAGATGGTTTTAAAAGGAACAACTTGCTCAGAAAGGTCAGTTTGTTGCCCAATAGCATAGAGTACAATGAAGCATAGGCAGAAACGTGGTAACCACACAACAATTAACTGCAGGGCCAATAGATATCCACCTGTTTGAGCTGAAATTCTGTCATATTGAAATGCAGATTGCCAACATAGAGCTTCCTGTCAGTTACACCATATGGTCCAGTTACACCTGAACCACCAGTAGAAGTATTGGATTGAACAAGATTCTTTTCTGCCTCTGACGGTTTTACCATTACAGGCTGTCCAAGAAATAGGTGGCCAGACAGAGCGATGGCCATCGGCACAGACATAACATCATAAAATTCAATGTATCTGCCATCAACAACACACAGAAAAATAAACAATCATATATTGTTCATTTTGAATATCAAATTCCACCACAAATAACAGGAAGAAGCCTCGAACATTCTACAATAGGATACAAAGTAAGCTGCAATATACATAAATAACAGAAAAAATAATAAAAAAAAAAAATGTGAGCTGCAATTTTACTCCAGAACATGCTTTTAAACCTTGAGAAAAAGCAGCACTAAGTGGAAGGAAATCTATTCAGAACCTATAAGAAAAAACGATAACCAATTAACATTGATGTCGTGAAATGAGAAATCAACAAATGAGCCTATTCGAAGGGGGGTGTGTATTTGGATGGGCAGGGGGATAGGGTATAATAATACCAAAATAAACATAAGGAACACATACCCAACTCCTTTTGATCGCCTTGAGTTCCGGTCCATAATTAGTTTTACATCTCTCACCTGAGAAAATGCATAAATATTAGTTCAAAACAAAGCAAATCAACAAAAGACAATAAATGTGCATTATCATTGTATGAATGGCAGTGAACACACAAAAGCGTAAATTGTCTCCATCTTTCTACAGAAAGTCACTGTATTACTTGCCATTGAATTGAGATCCACATCACTCAAATGCAGACATCACCAGGAGAGTTATTAAGAGAGGCAAAAGATAATTACAATAAAGAGTAACACAACTTTTTATGGGATCAACCAATAACATCGAATAAAGAATCATTGAGCACAAGAAAGCCACTGCGAACAATTATAACATGCCCCCAAAAGATCAATGATAACTATGTTCAGGTTGTGATCTGCAAGTATGTAAACCAACCTTCCCAACTTGCGAGAAGAACTCAAAGACATCTCTCTCAGTCGCCTTCAGCGGCATCTGCAGTGAGAAGATTAAAGAATTGTCGATAATAATATGATGGGCATATGGACCAAAATGTTTAAATGTAAGAATCAACGTGTTTAGATGTCAGCTGACAATTGAGATACCAGAATTCTTGTAAAATTAATACCTGATACGCAAATACAGTTCTCTGATCCCTTTCTGGATCAGCTTCAGGCTCCACAGCTTCCTTTTTATCCTTGAATCTCCTGCATTAATGACTCAAAGAAAAATGAGCAGAAATCCAATAACAAGAGAAGGTCAGCATTCAAATGAATTCAGTCTTATTAGAGTGTTAGAGGTCAGACGAAAAAAATAATCACAAAAACCCTTCCTCATTCACCCAGATTTTATGTACTATACTATCACTCCCCCACAAATCCTCAAAGCAATTGTTTATGTATCAGACAAGGCTAATCCTAGAGCAGAGCAGTAATTTTAATAACACGAATCACGAAGACAACAGAACATAAAGATTCAGACAGGCGTATGCTGTAACAAGCTTTAATCAAAATGACTGGCAAGCCAATACTCTAGCTGGGCAACAAAAGACGATCCTCAGATGCACAGCAGTACCGGGAGTCGGTACAGAGAACAAGAACTTTACATTCCAGTTGCCCAAAACAGACACTTCAAGGCTTTAAAATGATCAATTGTTCAATGCCTTAACACAAATAGTATTAATTTGAGATTTAAAACCAGTGCCAAATTAAGAAATCCTTCAAATCATTTATTTATACTAAAGGCCTCTTAGGAAATATCTCTATTGATGTTCCAGCAGGACAAATATGGATGAGTCACCACTTCATCATCTCAAGGGTACAGTTTATCCTGTGAATTCAGGAATAATATCAAGTCCAGTGAAACTCAAGTTTGTGAGAGGCTTTGTTAAATGCTAGACCCTAATCATATCTTATATTTAGACCCCAGCCAATAAAATCTGTCATTCAAAATTCCTGTTCAAAGCAAAGGGAAGGCCACATTATTGGAGGTAAAGCATTTTCGTCTTGGAAGTGAACAAAATGTTGGAAACTGACACAGCTTCACCACAAGCGTTGCCAACCTAAAAATTGAATACACCATTGGTCAACATCTCAGCTCAAAGGCAAGAAAAAACCTAAAAACCAGCTATACAAAACATTGGAAGGAGTATGAGTCAAATTCAAAAGCCCAAAACGAAGTAACATAACAGACCTTATGGAACTCAATGTGGAAATCCACTTTCTTGTGTGAACAAGCCTTCAAGGGGTTTCCTCATTGTTAGCCCAATAAGATGCAAACAATCCATCTACGATTTCAACCCAAGTTAGAATACTACATCCTCTATGCATAAACTCACTTCTGTTTTCTGCACTAGACCCTTTTTAATGGGTTTCTTACATGTCACAGCCCCAATATAATGATAGAAAAGCAAGAGGGAACATTTTCAGTTTAATTTAATATAAATTTTATGGACATGATTGCTTCATTATTTAACCAGAACTCACTCAAAAACTACATAGAATAAATTGATACACTCAAATCTAAATTCTCGAAGTTCAGCCAAACTGACAAAACACTGAGGAAACTAAAACAAGGACATCAAAGACATCACCCGCTCTCTTAAACCAGTAACAGAAAATGAAACCATGAAAAAAAAAAAAAATAGTAAAACATCATGTATACTTACTTAGATCATAGCAGACCTGTTCCCAATCAAATATTGAGCAAGATGACACAAAGTAAATCAAATTTCATACACACTAGAACTGTGAAAAAAAAAAACTAAAACCACGGATTACAAACAATATAGATAAAAAAAAAAAAAAACACTTAGAAAAAAAGGTGCGTGGACATCACCTGCTCTCCTCACGCTCCCTTTCCCTCAGCAAATCCCTTTCTCTTTCTCGTTCCAGCATCGATCGGCTTCGGCTCCTCCTTTCCCTCTCTTTCTCCCTCTCCCTTTCCCTCTCTTTCTCCCTGTCCCTCTCTTTGTCCCTCTCCTTCTCCCTATCTCTATCCCTATCCCTCCTCTCCCTATCCCTCTCTCTATCTCTCTCCTTCTCCTTATCCCTCGAACTTCGTCTCTCTCTGTCTGAATCCCGCTCTCGACTCCTATGTCTCGAGCTTCTCTCTCTATCTCTGTCTCTCTCTTTATCTCTATCCCTGTCGCGATCCCTCTCCTTTTCTCTTTCTCGCCCGTTGGCTTCACTCCGAGATTTCTTGCTGCTACTCTTCCTTTCCTTCTCTTCTTCATCAAATTCATCGTCTTCGCCTCTGTCTCTCCTTCTGTATCCCCTCTCGCTCCTCTCTCGCTCCTTTTCCCTGTCCGGCGACTCCTTCGCCGCGCCGTTTGTCTCCTCCACGGCTTTCTCCAGGTAATCGTACTCGTCAAAATCCATCCTTTTCCAAAATTTTACCTTACCGGAGATGGAGAAGTTCGCTCAGCTCCAGAATTCACTGGAATATCTTATCGGAACCCTAGCTCCAAGGCAAAATTAGGGTTTTGCAGAATGGAAAATTGAACTGTGTACTGAGTTCCGCCCCTTGGCTTTTTTATACTGCGACAGATATATGTTATAATTTGGGCATGAACCATTATTAATATTTTGACGGAAATTGAACTTGGGCTTTTTAATTGATTGTGAGGCCTAGCCCAACCATTATTACGCTGATGAAACATGAGAAATTTACACAATTTACACTCTAGGCACAAAATAATATCAGATTTACGAACCCAACATTTTTTAATCAGATTTACGTTAGGGGGATAATTAAAATGATAATTAGGGCGGTTAAATTGGCCTAATTAACCGTTAAATACAATTAAGTATATACTGCATTATCTCTTACACATGATTCTCGGGAAAAGTGATCTTCTCTCCATATTATCACTAATCCTCCTAAAAAAAAAAAGCTGAAAATCTTTCACTCTCTCCAAATCTTTTACTCTTTCACTCTCTCCAAATCTCCCAAAAAAAAAATACATTCAGATCTCAATTGAAAGAAAGAACCTCATCACATGAACCTAGATATCACCGGCGAACCTCCAGCATCAAAAGTGCGTCTTTCCGACCACTCGCCCAAAATCCTCAGATTACCCAGAATCTGAGGACGTTTCTCCGACGAGTCGTGTCAATACCGCAGTGTACCACATTTTTTCCGTTGAAATTGTGAATAACAATGGCAAAGGAAAACAAAATCGAGAGCAAACACTCCAAAAGTGAAGACGAAGCAAGGATTACTCGCTCCCAATCTCGTCGCAAAGCCCAATTTCAACCCCGCGAGCGAAAGATTATACAAAAAAAACTTCAATTTCAGAAAATAGAGAAGACCGCCGTAGATGAGTCGGACGACGACGACGATTTCGTCTCACAACATCAAACGAAACAAAAAGCGAAAAAGATGACCCCAGACACGAAGAATAAGAGGGTTCGAAGAAACAGGGTCGAGGCCAAAATTGTTGAAACACCAAAGAATCAACAACAGTCTGATTCGGATTTCGATATTCATGGCGAGGAAGAATCAAATTCGAGTGAAGTGGGTGCGGATGTTCCAAAGAATGACGGCGACGTTGACACAGACCTCCCAAAATTTGACCCCAAAAACCGTAAGCGCCGACGTGATTTTTCAAAGAAAAGAGAGTTGAAGAAGCACCAAGCAAGAGAAGACATTGATAATTCTACTCGGAAGATGAAGGTAGTGTGTACTCTGTTTTTCTTTTTGCAAGAAGAGACATTGATAATTCTCGTTGAAGAACCACAAAAGCGTGTTTAAACTATTTTAATGTGAAGATTGGCTGTGTGTACTCTGTTTTTTCTGAGCTTTATATTGCTGTGAAGTAGTTTAATTATGTGTATTTTATCAAATTCATTATCAGCTTTTAAGGCTCTGATCATGTGTTGATTATGAGGAGTAATCATGTGATGAATTGATACCCTATGTTTTTATATGCTGTTTATGTGAGTGTAATATTATCAATAATAGTTCTTGTTTTCGACTGTGATTTATCAAACTTCTTCTCGGCAGATTATATCTTGTTCTTGTTCGTGCGCTGTCTTGAATTTTCATTTGTTCTTTGTAATGATTTTTGACGTTTTGAAGTGTTTGTGTAAGTGAACATTCATTTGGCTGTTGTGACCAATTTGGCGTTTGGGGTTTGTGAATGGTTCTTGTTTGAGGGAAAAAGGAAGTATGATGTTTAGTCGGATTCATG